GGCTTTCTCCTACTGGGCCCAGACCTGTTTTCTTGACTAGTTTACTTAGTTAAATGACAGAGATAGTGATCTTATCTGAAAGGTGTGGGCTTGCTCACCTCTATGGCGAAGTCCTTTGAAGTTCTGACTTTGTTCACAGGCCAGTGTCTGTTCTGTGGCTTTCAAAAGCAGGCAATCCGCACAAAGGTGGCTCTGTTGCACCCTCTGGTGGCCACCACCCCAGAGCACTCTGGGTGGTGCTCTAAGCCAAGGCCAGAAGGACCTGGGCAGCCCTGGGTGGGGTCTGCTTTTCTGCCCCAAACCACTGTGTAGGGCTCGTTTCCAGAGTTCTTCTGCTAGGCACACCACCCAGAGTCCTTGTCCCCTATGTCACAAGTGTCATGCTCAGTGTTCAGGATGCAGTGCCCCATTTCTGTTCATCTGTATGTTACCACATGTTCTGTGGCTTTACCTGTGTGCCATTACATGCTGCTCCCTGGCTGGCGGGCTGGCGTCTCCTCACTCAGCCTTCCAGCCTTTTCACAATTCTCTTTGTTTGTTTATCCCGCCTATACTTCCTGCCTGGCTACTGGCCAATCAGCATTGTATTTACCAACCAGTCAGAGCTTCTGACCTTCTGGCAGAGCCCTTGTCTTGCCCACAGCTATCTCTAGGGCCCACTGCCCTTGATGCTCTTGTGGTAGATGAACCAGATACCAAGGCCGCATTTGCTCACAGCATAAACTGTGGCAGCCCTCCGACTCTATAGAGGCCCATTTCTGGATGCAGGCCTTTGATTCCCAGGACATTTGGGTGTTCTTGGTCCTACCACAGCTCCCCTTGGGGTAAGAAACTGTCCTTTCATGGACAGACTCAGATCAACTTGAGCTCCTTGCTTGGGACAATGATTCTACAAAGTCAGTCCAAACATTAGAAAGCATGAACAAAGAGTGTCTCCAAGTCCAAAGGCAGCCAAGGAGGCCCCCAGATGAGCCTGAGCCTAAGAGCTCAAGGCTAAGAAGCCCACAGCCCACAGAATGTTTCATTTCAATAGTTTTCATGGAACCCTGACCTTCTCAGGTGTCTCAAAGCTGACACCAAGATCTTTTGCTTCAGGTCTGCCGTGGGCCAGAAGTATGTCTGTGCTGAGCTCCTGAAGACCCAAGTGGAAACAGCTGGACTCCCTGATCATAGAACACACCTGCAGCATTCCAGGGCTCCACAGCTCTGTCCTTTGCCACTTTTCCATCCTAGATCTAATGACACCACCCAGAAAAGGACTCCACCACCCCTTTCCCACATGAGAGCTTCTGACCCGCTTCCTGTGCCACATGCAACCCAACCACTTTGCCTCAGCAGCCTGTCCCTGCTGCCACTGCCACTGGCTGCCCGTGTTCCCCTGTCCTTGGGGAACCGCAGGTGGGCCGATGTGATTTGACTCAGCTTGAAGCTTTAGACTGCTGCCCTCCATGTCCCACTGCACTCACACACATCCCTGGGGACTGGTGGCCTCTCTGGCTTTCTTCGGCTTCTTGCATAGTTGTCCCCGCTCAGATCATTGTCCTGCCTGTAGGCAGCTGTGATCTAGACTCAGGGCTTCATGACTGGCAGCCTGACTAGGCCCCACTGCTGGGATGAAATAGCTGGGACTCGAACCCTGCCTCCCACTTCAGGAACACAGCTGGAGTGATGGAAAAGCTAATTCGGGTATCAGCGGAGACGAAGCATATTCTCTTTTGCGATGGGCTAGAACGTACAGCTCAGCGTTGGAAGGAACTATGGGAGGTCCTCTCCTTCATCTTGACCAGTTGAAATACTCATCTAGCTTCATGGCAGTACCTTGCCCACAGTGGCCAGTTCACCTGGAGAGTGGCCCTCAAGGAGGTGGGAGGAAGAATAGGATCTCTGCCTTCTAGAGGGGATGAGTAGGGTGGGGCATCCTTGAGAACCTCAAGGCCACAGGTCCAGTCCCACCCATCATGTGTCTCCACAGCAGAGATTTAATTGTTCAGGTTCTAGAGGCGAGAGCTCAGAGACTGGGGTGGGTTCAGGTGAGGGCTGTCCTGGTTTATAGGTGGCTGTGACTTTACATGGTGGAGACAGAGAGAGGAAGAAAGAGATGGAGACAGAGAGGGAACAGCAAGCAAGGCAAGAGGAGAGAGAGAGAGAGAGAGAGAGAGAGAGAGAGAGAGAGAGAGAGACGCAGAGAACATTGATATTCAATGTCTCTTTGTTTCTTGTTATAAGGACACAACCCCATCAGAAATGTCCCCAACCCTCCTTTCTCTTGAATTGTCTCCCAAAGTTCTGGTCACCAAATGCCACAGGGAACCTCATGGAATAGAACTGGAGTTTCATTATAGGCTCTGTCTCTCTGTCTCTGCCTGCCTGTCTGCCTCTCTCTCTCTCTCTCTCTCTCTCTCTCTCTCTCTCTCTCTCTCTCTCTCTCGTGTGTGTGTGTGTGTGTGTGTGTGTGTGTGTGTGTGTGTTCCTTAGCCTGCAGTATTGTTCAAAGTTTATAAAATACTGATGTGAGAACCGGTGACAGCCAACCTCTGTGAGGTGACTGAGGATTAGGAGGACTGGATTTAGCATGACAGACGGAAGAGGATTCACTTTGCTCTCCGGTTCAGGCCATGGGTAGTTCCTGTGGGGGAACTGAGGGGTAGGGAAGTGAAGGGAAAGAAGTTGGTATGGTGTAGGAGCACCAGGTCCCAATCCTCAGAGGTCCCTTTGGCAAGGAAAAGAGGCTGAAGAAGCGGAAGCCGACCCCTCCTCAACAGCCCCTACTCAGCTTCCCCAGCACAGGTGAGCTGGCCCTCTACAGTCCACTGCCATTTGGCAAGTGATGGGCCTCTGAGGACACAGTCGTCTCTGTATGTCAGGAGGGGTCTTGCTCCAGCATTTTGATGATTTCAAAATCCAGCGGTGTTGAAATACCTTGTACATTTTCACAGAACACCCACACACCTGATACTTTAAGCCCTCTCTAGATTCCTTATAAGCCTGAAGGAGTGGAAAAGCTATGTGGATAGTTGTTAAACTGGACGGTTCAGGGAAGAATGACAGAAAGGTCTGTGAGGGGCTGGGGGATGGTGAGTGGGTAAGGGTACTTACTGTGCAATCATGAGGACCTGAGTGTGGATTTCGGCATCTGTGTGACAATCCTGTGTCCACAGCACCAGAGTGGTGGGAAGTAGAGAGAGACTGGAGGCTGGCTGGGGCTCGCTGGCCACCAAACTAGCTCCAGGTTCAGGAGACACCCTGTGTTCACATGAATAAGGTAGAGAGTGGGATAGCAGGACACTTGAGTTCCTCCCCTGGTGTCCGTGAGCAACCTGTACACATATACACCACACACGTGCATATACTACACATATTACAGGGAGCTGGGTCTGAGATCTGTCATGGGTGGAGTACAGGGGACAAAGGTAGGCATGACTCCTCAGGGACCAGCTATGATATGCTGCCACCTTGTGGCTGCTCGTGCGTTGTGCAACTGAAAGCCGGTCTAAGGGCTCTGAGTCTCTGATGGAGCACATGTATGTGTGTGTGTGTGTGTGTGTGTGTGTGTGTGTGTGTGTGTATGTGTGTATGTGGTGTAGTGTAAGTGTGTGTGGTGTGATATATGTATATGTGTGTGGTGTATGTGAAATGGTGTTTGCTGTATTGTTTGTATATGTGTTGTGTGTTATGATGTGTGTGTGGTGCAAAGTGTTTTGGGTATACTGTATATGTATAGTATGTGTTGTGTTATGATGTGTTTATGTACTGTATGTGTGAGATATGTGATACATTATGGTATGTGTTGTATCTGTTTGCACTGAGTATGTAAAGTATGTGGTGTGTATTGTCTCTGTGTTGTGTCTATTCATGTATGCCATATATATATATGGCATATGTATATGTATATATATGTATATATATACATATATATATAGGTGTGTAGTTTGTATGTAGAGTGTGTTGGTAATGAATAAGCATGACCCCTGGTGAAGAAACAGAAGTGATAGGAGAAAAGGAATTCTAGAGATGGAGAAGATGCATGGTGAAGCCCGGGAAGGCAGGAGGCAGGGATGGATACACAGGGAGCAGGGGGAAGGTCAGACAGGGCTGGAATCTGGCCACCCTTTCTGGTGCTGCTGAAGTTCCTCTGTCCAGTGCTGGGTTCCTTGCTAAGCCTGTTGCCTGTGTTAACTCAGTGCTTAATGCATGTGTATACTCCGGCGCATCACTATCCCAGCTTTATCTATGGAGATCAGGCACAGTGAGGCTCAGCAATCTACTCAGCCTTACACGGCCAGGCAGTAGACCCCCAGACCTCCTGGCTCTAGGGACCATGTGCAGACATCCATACATATTGCCTTGGAACTGGCGTCCAGTGAATTCAGGGGTAGGGCAGCAGGATGGACCAGGAGGCTAGGCTCACCTCTGCCTTCTCCTATTTACAAGCTGTGGTGAGCTGTGTTAGAAGAGCAGCCAGGACAAGTCAGGTGGCATAGAAACTGTAAAGTGTCATGCCTATCATGGGGGGCCGGGTATCACAGACACACGTCAATCTCATATGACAAAGCTCCAATTCAAGGCTTCAGGAAATATTTCTTTAAAAATCCAAGTAAGAGTGACTGTATCAACTTCAGACCTGGTCTGTGCTCCTCCCAGGGTGTGGCTATCTCCTCTGTGCACACTGGGACCCGGCCAAGCCAACATCAGAGCCACTGGCCTGTGTCCACTTCAGCCTTCTGGGATGTTTTGCTTCTCATCCCAGCCCCCTCTGAAGACTGGCAAGGTCAAGTCCGTCTGCCGGATGACAACAGAGGTTCAGGGAGGTTAGGTAACTCACCACAGTCACACAGCAGGGGATGGCTCCACTCTGTCTCCTGAACCCCTCTGAGGAGGGCAACCATCCCAGGGGACCCTAGGAGATGACTCATGCAGCCATTTCAGGACTGAACACAACCACCATCCCCCGCCCCCCCCCCAATAGAAACTTCACCAAAGGAGAACTCTGAACACACCCAAACAATAAAATAGCTCTCTTTACTCACTTTGATTTGGATCATTGGAAACATTCAACAATAAATAAAACAGAGCAGGGGCCGGGGAAGGCAGACTTGCTAACGTCCTTGGAAATGCATTCAGACCAATCAGGAGGATTACAAGACGGAGGCACGAGAAAGAAAGCAAAGTATTAATGGGTGACACTGGGCCACAGGAAGCAAGGAAGGGAAAGCTTGTGGGAGCGAAAGTGCTTGGAGAACTTTGGTTCTGAAGGGGCCTTGGGAAAGGGCTAAAGTGATTGTGCAGGGGGTCTGGGGGTGCAGGGGGGCACCCGCATCCACCTACTAGAGTGAGCTGAGCAAGGCGCAGGTGAGGTTCTAGGAAAAGGGCTAAAGTGATTGTGCGTGGGGGGGGGTCTAGGGGTGCAGGGGGGGACCCACGTCCACCTAGAAGGGCGAACAAGATCCAGATGAGGCTCTGGAGAAAGGGTTAAAGCTGACGCCATGGGGCAGACCCTGGGCAGGAGGAGCCGAGGTAAAAGCTAAGGGAGCAGAGAGGTTGGAGAGGTGACGGTGGGGTCCTCCCTTAGTGGAAGCAGGCTGGAGGCTGGACCTGGCTGAGGCCACATGCTGTTTGGGTCACCACACCGTTACTCTATTCTGAGGCTGAAGGCATGAGCCGCTGCTCTGACGATCTCTGCCATCTCTCCTCACCCTCTGTTTTTCTTACAGGTATTGGGTAGCACCCGGGGCACAGGAGAGCGTGACAAACAAGAAGAAAGCTGCCGTCATCTCAAAATTCACTAGCCAGGCCATGGTGACCGAGCAGCCAAGGCCACATCTTTCTCACCTCAGGTAACGAGGACGGAAGCCATGGCTTTAGCTGCCAGCTCCCTGAGGGCATGCAGCTGCCACTCTATTCTCTGGAGAAGAGTGGGCACCCAGGGCCTCTCTCGCTCTGCATGTTGGGGCTACTTTGAAGGGCACAGGTAAAGCCAACCTCTGGGTTCTCAATTATCCACTGTGGTCCTTTCCACATTTGACAGGGAGGCCCTATTCCCAGAAGGTGAGATGGGCCGTTAGCAGCCCCATGTGGCCACACTGGGGACTGCAGCACCATCTGTACTCTATGCCCTTTGCCCCAAAGCAATCTCCAGACCTTCAGGGCCCCAGCCAGTCGCTAGCCTCCTTAGTCTACCCTATACTTTCTTGGGTCTGTTCCGATAGCCCCGCCCACACAGTTTATCTGATGATGTCCGATGCCTAAAAGCTAACCTAAGGCATCACTGTAAGGATTTTCTTCTCTGGCTTGTCTCTTCCGGGAACTGAAGGCTACAGATCTGCTTCTCTCTCCCCAAGAGGCTGAGGGCAGGCAGGGGAAGCCTGCCACCAGCACAAGAAACACCAGTGTCTTGGTTCACTGCAGGCTAGTAGTCTAGGGTGCTGCTGAGATGGTCCCCTGGACTTAGCAGCTTTCTGATCAGCTCAGGCACTGCAGCCCAGGACCAGCCCTGTGGTCAGCAGCCAGCCCACTCTCTTTGGGAAAGGCCCTTCCTGTTCTCAGCCACCCACACCCCAAGGAAAGCTACAATTACCTTAAACCAATTGGTGCACTTAATTCTGGCCACAGTGGACTGTATTTTATTCAGTTAAGAGCCCATTGCTAAGCCAGCGAGCGAAGCACAGGGGAAGGCTGAGGGTTATGGGCAAGAGAAATGCTGGCTCCTTGACTGGACAAGAGGGAGGGGAAGAGGAAGGAAGGGAGGCAGGGCGGTGGGGGGGGGGGTAGTGGGAGGGGCCAGATGGAGACTAGAAATGGCTACACTTAAGGCAGGCACTTGCTCTCACGCAGTAGAACCCAGGTACGTCACCCCTACGTCAATGTCCACTAATTCTGACTTGTCCCAGGTACTGACCCACTGACGCACAGACCAAGTCTGCTGAGTTACTCACACTTGGACCTCTGAGGATGCCTTTCCAGAGCAAGGACCTCACAAGTGTTCAGCCTTTTCAGCCAAGAATCTTAAAGAAAGGTTTTCTTTTTTTTGTTTTGTTTTTCTCTAAAGCAGAACATCATATTCCTCCATTAAGAACCTGGATTCTGAGTCTTGGAGAATTGAACAAAAGCTACAACAAAGCCACTCAGGACAGACTCCTGGAAAACGGCAATCTTGGTGTCTGCTCTTTGGTGATGCCTGTGAATGGCCCAAAGCTGTGTGTGGCCCCGATTGAGGCCCCTGAGCTCTTATTGTAGAGGGGAACCTGAGCAGGGGGACATCTCCCAAGCCTCAAGAGACCTCTCTCATATTCTTGATGAAACTGCAGTGGTCTTTAGCGAATACTTTCGACAGAAACAGAGGTTTCTCTTATGGAACATCTGTAAGGAGGTGACAGTTACCACCCAGTGCCTGTTCACCCTCGTCTCAATTCCCTCACCAAGGAGTCATCAGTGAGGCCGGAGGTCCCAGCCTGAGGGAGTCCCTTCTGCAGTAAGGAAGAAGGCAAGTCAGCTGTACCCGAAAGGGAGGTGACATGGATTGTATAAAGGATCATCAGCGTCACAGGATCTGCCACCAGCAAGCCCCGAGTCCAGATGTCTCAACACACACATCCAGGATGCTCAGAGGCTTCCCTTTCTATTCCTGCTTCCACTTGCCAGGCAAAGCAAGAAAAATATTGTGAGCAGCAATGGGAAAGAGTGTGCACGGGGGTCAGCTAAATTAACAAATCAATAAATAACATGAAGTCTGTAGAGGGAAGGAAGAAGGGGAGAACAGACGGGAGTGAGGAGAAGAGGTACATGCATTTCAGCTGTGGTCCTAGGATGTCCCCACTGGGACCCCAAGGACTCCAGGAAGGGGGGGCTACTAGGGACTTAGCCCAGTGTTCAGGACCTAGGGGAGGATGCTGGTTGTTAGTGGTCCCGAACCCAGCAGTCTGAGGGAATAGAAGTGAGCACCCATCCCATGCTTGGCACACTCTGAGTGGTGCAGAGTACCATCTGGAAAGAGACTCTGAGTTATGCAGCAAAGCGGGGTGCTGGTGGAGGTCCCCCTTTTCCAGTTGGGGATTTTGCTTCACGTCAGCCAATGCATGCATTTCTTCCTCAAGTTCAAAGGCACGTGGAAGTAGTCAGACCTGCTCCGGCCATCCGTATCACCATGGAGGATAATCACACAGGATGGTGAAGAGGGCTTCCCACCCGCCAGTAACACATGGCGAGGTTTCTATGGAAGACCTCTGGAATCAGAAGCTTTGCCCAGCCATCATTAGTGAGCTTTTGGAAGAAAGGGACAATGGGGATGTCATATCATGTGACAGGCCGGGCTTCATGCAAAGGAGAACAGTATCTTGTCCCAGTGCTGGTGGAGCCCAGTTGGGGCTCTGCTCTGGAGATAACCGTCACAAACATCCCAGCCAGAGTCTGAGTTGAGCTTGAGGCCCACAGTTCAGTGTCAGCCTCTAAATGACTTCCAGGAAATGCCCACTTTTCTGAACATAGGAATCTTCAGGATTTAATTTTCCCCACCCCCACCCCAGAAGTCAAAATAACTGTCATTATTTGGATGTTAGACTGTTCCCAGTATCTTCCCACTTTCCTCCAGCTAGGAGACAGCAGTTGGGGAAGTGCTCCCACTTTGGACAGGCCTGAGACTTGCTCTGTACCCTGGGAGAGTTGGACAACATTGCTAAATAGATGCTACCAAAATGAGGGTGCAAGAGGCTGCCAGCAAGCCTGGGAACACCCCAAGTTCAGCCCTGGAAGCTTCCAGAACAGAACGGCTCCAGTGCGATGCTGGGGCTGCAAGTTGAGAGGTGAGACGTGGTGTGTCCGTCCTTAGTGGGTCGCAGCGTCATCTCCCCTTGAAGATGCGAATCTTGTTGATGGCTGCCAGGGTGGTTGTGACATTGTACTCGAAGTCAGCATCATGCACCCCCGTCTTTCGGAATGCGCCTGCAGATGGGTTGTTTTCCCAGTAATGGTGCCAATTGCCTTTGCTGTCTGCACCGAAGCCATACAAGTCCACCTGTGGGGCGAAGGCAAGGTGAGACCCAGATTGCATCAGCATGGGGGCAGGGTGCGGGGGATTCAGGAAAGGCAGTCTGCGGTTGTCCCTGGAATGTTATGGTAAACATTAATGGTTCAGAGGAACCTTCTTCAGAAAGCCAAAGCAAGCTAAGTAAGGCTCAAGTCCAACTCCAGTCCAAAGGCATCTTGGGGGGACTGGGCCTGCCCTGGAGCTCCCAGGGGTCCTGGAGAGAAGGTGAGAGGGGCTTAGAAGGCAGGCAAACTGTCCCTCATCCAAGCTGACTCTCGATACACCCTGTCATTTCAGAGCCTCGTTTTCCCATCTGGAAAGGAGGCCAAGAGGCATGAACACAGAAGGTAGGTGACGAATTTCAAACCCTTCCTCCTGAGGCCAGCATCTGAGGCTGGGGCCCAAACACACATGACCAACAACAGTGGCTACTTAGTCTGCACCTAACATCTCTGGACACGTCAAATGCAGGCAGGCCTACTTTCTTTAGATGCCACCTGGCAGGTACTAGAGACATCAGGGACATATCCATTAGGCCTCAACCCTTACAACTTATGGCAGTCATAGACAGGATATCACTTAGAGAGGGTGTGTGTGTGTGTGTGTGTGTGTGTGTGTGTGTGTGTGTGTGTTAAATTCAGGGTTCCCAGGGCACTGTGGAAAGGCTGTAGACCCAAGGTAATAGGAGGCCGTTTCAAGGTGGGGACATCCGAGTTGGGTTTTAGCTAGTGAGTAGTTGGTGACCAGTGAGGAGCATTAAGGGAAGGCATACCATCTAGCTGTGGGGTGGAAGACAGATTGGAGCTAGAGAGGGGTATGCACAACAGAGCAGGGCTCTTTGGGTGGGACGGGAGATCAGAGATCAGAGCAGTGTCTCTGAGGGACCCGCTCTGGTTCTCCCAGCTGGTGCGAAGTGGAAGCCCCTTCTGCCTGGTTAGCTTCCTAGAAATTTTGGTGAAGTGAGTCAGGGTTTGGCCCAAGTATTAAATATAGGTCTCCTGTGGCTTTAATAAGCAACCTGAGGGTGGTAACTGTGGCCTTTGTAGCTCTCCCTGTCTAAGCTGGTTAGAGCCTGCTTCTTCATTCTGAGCTGAATCAGAGCCTAGCCACCCTCACTGAAATGTTCCAGAATTCCTGCTCTTGAGAATGATATCATATGGCTGCCACTCTTCCACATACCTGCTGAGACGGGTGCCAGAAACCCTTTGGATAGATGTAGTTGGAAACTATCTTCTGCCCGCTCCCCTACCCTGGACTCCCATGGAAACTTGGCAGTGGCGGGGGTGGGGAGGGGCGGGGGATAGCCCTTGTCCCTGTGGCCTGCAGGAACATAGGCTGGCATACCTCATCACAGACATGAATGGAGAAGATGACGGAGAGGATGCCGGTTGATGGGTACCGCCCATGCCCCTGAAGCCAGTTGTCAAAGACATACTTGATGAAGGCTGGGTGGTAGATCAGGATCTGCAGAGAGAATGGACTGGGTGAGTACAGCCAGCAAAAGACACAGAGCATCTAGTGAGTGCTATACTGCTGCGGCCATAGGACATGATCATGCAGAGCTCTGACAAACATCCTTGTATTTACGGACTTCGTGCTGGGGACACTAGAGATATCCTGCATCGTTACCAGGTAGGGCTGAAGAGCGATGGGGGCTACAGGGAAGAAGAAGCACCAACAGCTTCACAGCACTGGGGGAAGCCTTGAAAGGGACAGTGAGTGGTGTCGAAATAAAAATCCTCTGGGGGCAGGGAGTGTGACCCAAGGCTCCAGAAGTGCTCCAGGGAGCAGTGTGAGGGATCATGACAGTGTGCCACACATTAAAAACATACCTGTGGGCCACCTATTCTGCCTGGCATTGCCTGGCATCTCTGACCTAAGGTAAACTATATGCATGGCTTTCCTTCCCTGTTATGAAGACACCAAGGTACAGAGAGGCTAAGCAACATGTTCAGTGTTACACAGCCATGAAGGTCTCCCTGTGCCACGAATGGCCTTGGCCTCATTGCCTGTGACTGCCTTGGGGAGACTGATGGGGACTTTGAGAGCAGTAAAGGGTATAGGCAGCCTTATCCCATTCATTAGAGAAAGAATGGGTTCACAGGTCTCTGGAGGGCTCTTCATTTCTCAGCTTTCCTTCAGGGCATTATAGTCTTAGGAAAGAGACCCACCCTACAGAGATTTATATGGCTTCTTTCTGGGACTGTGGTGCTCCAGGCCAAGGGCAGCCTGTTGCAGGCGCATGGGGACTTCATCTCGTCCTAGCATGATCTAGGCTGTGTCCCTGGGCATAGTACAGGCCTTTCCGAGCCTCCTATAAAGTATGACAGTGTATGCAAAGATCCAATGTGGTAAATTTTTCACACATGTTCCTGCTTTGGCCCATGTTTGGGCCAGTGCAGTATAGGGGTCCGCTGGGAAGGATGGAGGTATGGAGGTGTGGGAGATGGAGGTGTGGAAAGGTGGAGGTGTGTGAGTCTGGCTTTGCGAAGCTCCCAGGAATAGTTAAAAAAAAAAAAAAACAAAAAAAAAACTGCAGCCCACACTCCCCCTACCCTCCAGGGGCTTGTGAGAGCTAGACGGCTGGTGCTACCCTGGGTTGGCTGTAGTAGGTTTGGGTAACTCCTGAAGAGTCACATCTGTGGCAAGTTCCCAGGTCATGCCCACTATGAGGGCCTGTCCTTAGCTCCACGGGTGCCAGCAACCGCACCAGGCCAGGGCCCGGGCACTCTGTGTAGCTCAGTCCTGCCACCACAGCACTAAATCTTGGAAAAGAAGTCAGCAAAGTTAGAGGGTCCTAAGCTGCCACTTACCTTCTCCTGTTTCACTTTGATCTTCGGGGGCACCGGGACGTAGGTGCTGTGGATCGGGAAAGAGAAGGGATTTAATGTGGAGAGGGGGCACCTGGGCACCAGAAGCTCTGGAGAGTGACATAGCCAAATGAGGGCAGGGAGGCTTAGGTTCTCAGAAGCCACCTTCCTGTGGGAGCACAGCTCCTGCAGTAGCTCCAGAATAGCACCAGGGGGCGACCCTGGCTGATTTGGGCCAGAATGGGGACTTGCTCCAAGCACACAGATTTCAGGGGCCTAGGGATAGTTGTCTCCATCTTCCAGAGTCAGAACATCTGTGCCCATTAGTGGGGCTCAGCCTGATGCTGGGGAACTGACAGGGGTGACCTATGGCTGTCTCCAGCTCATGCAGGCAGACATGAGCTACAGCATCAAGGTGTAAAATCCACTACCACATGGAACATAACCGCCGCAGTTCAGGCTCTCCATGTGCCTGGGCACCAGGGAGCACCTTGAGCAGGCAGCCTGGCCCAACCTCTTGCTGAGCCCTTTCCTTACACTCTGTCCCCGCCGGAGGCATGGAGTTCCTAGAACCCGCAGTTCTTGGCTCTGGCTCTACTCCTGAGAGACCTGGGCTAGGACCAGGAGTTATGCGGACATCTGGAAATGGAAAGCCACTCCCACTTCGAGAAAAGCCAGGGCCTGAGGAATTAGACCCAGATGGTTTCATGGGCTCTGGGTCAAGTTCAGTGTTGGGCAAGTGGTTTGGCCCAGCCGTAGTTGCTCCCTGGAGGCCAGAGCTAATGAGAAACACTGCTGTGAGGACCAAACGAGATGCCAAGTTTCAAATGATAGGCGCCATGCCTGGGGAGCAGATGGCAGCACTTACTCTTGGAGAGCCAGTGTTGACTGATGCACAAAGTATGTGCTCAGCAGCCCCTGCCTGTTCTGTGCTAGCTGCAGTCTAGTAGCAAAGGGATCTCGGCACTGAGGATGGACGCGGAGCTACCACAACCAGGGGCACTCGGAACCGAGGCTGGACAAGTCAGGCAGGATCAACCAAGGAGATGGATGGCAGGAGCAGCCCTATATGTACCAGGAGGCACGGAGGAGAGGAATCCCAAGGGACAGTCCAGCAGGGGTGAGCCATGGCAGGAGACAGATGGGCACAGGGCAGTCACTAGAGGAACTCACTGAGTTATGGTGCCTGTGGTGGTGGCACTGACCACCCACTGCAGGTCGGTGATCTTGAAGGGGACCAGGACCATGCTGACATTCTCTCCCAGCTCCCGGAAGCTCTCAGGATATACAAGATGGTGGGTGGTCCTGCTCCCAACATCTGCCTCAAAGCCCACGGTGGGTGCCCTGTTCATCCTGGGAGGAGAGAAAAAGGGGCACACGTTAAGGATGCTGGAGATGGAGTCATCCATGTGGTAACCACAGGTGAGCTTCTTGGTTCCCTAGGCCTTAGTTTCAATGGGGACATTGTAGACACAGGCCAGACAAGCCTGGTAGAGCAGGTCTGAAATCACAGCTACTTGGGAGGCGAGAGCCAGAGGATGGTAAGTTCAAGGCCAGCCGGAGCAACTCAGTTTTGGGGGACATGGGGGAGGTAACTCAGTCAGGGGAAGACAGCTTGCCTAGTATGCACACGGCCAAGATCCATCCCTTGTTCATCAAAACAGCGGCCAAGGCTTTAAAATATATATATATATAAAAGCAAGTGTGGTGGGTCTTGCCCTCTAACAATCAACCACCCATGTCATGGGTAACTGTACCTAGTAGGTGCACCTTTTTAATGATCCAGAGCCCAGACAAGCTGTCTACCAAGCTCCAACTTTGAACTCAGGTCTGCCTGACCCTGAACCCGACTTTGTGTCTCATCATGGGCATTCCCACTGATACTAGGTACAGTGAAAGCCAGGAAAGGGGCCTATGGGCATGAAGTCAAGGATACAGAAATAAGGTCGTTCTAGATTCTAGATGCACCATTTATCCATCCATCCATGTCTGCCTGTCTGTGTGTGTGTGTGTGTGTGTGTGTGTGTGTGTATGTATGTGTGTATGTATTTGTGTATGTATATATATATATCTGTCTGGGGGATACTGAGTCCCATCTCTAATTATTCTCTCTGCCTCAGAACAATTCTGAGTAGGGATGAGGAAAAACTCATGGGAGACATGGTGCTTTTTCCTGAGATGCCAGTTCCACTTGGGGACAGAGGAAGCAAAACTGACATGAAAAGCTTCTGGTTCACAGTCTAGACTGTAAGCTGCGTGTGGATTTGAGCCACAGAAGCACTGGCTGCAAGTCAGTTTTGCCCACTCAATAGGCCTTAGGTACTAAGTCACCAGCCTACTGGAAATCTTTAGCCAAGGCTTTGCTGTTGCATGTCACCTTGCTAGGGAAAGATGGGGGAACTAAGACCCAGAGGTCAGTCAGTAATGGGGCCCCAGGCCCAGGATCTTGTTCTTCTGAGCTGAGCCAAGGTGTTTCACACATCTCTGAGGTTCCCCGAGCTCGGGTTGAGGGTCCAGTGCTCACCTCACCACAAAGTCATGGCTGTCAATGTCGGGCCCATACGAGGAGTCCTTCAGGTTCCCGGAGTTCCCCACGACTGCACAGCGTCGGCAACCCACCAACCTCTTGTCCAGCGCGGGGTCCACATTCCCAGGCACCACACGAAACAGTTCCTTGATAGTGTCACTCAGGTTGTTAGGTTTCCTCTCCCGCTGGAGCCTCTGGGGCAGAGAACCAAGGGGGTGGTCAGCTTGGCTCCATCACCTCTGGCTAGGTAGGCTGGCTCCCTGGCCACCAAACCCAGCCACTAACTGTGAAGGCACAGGTGGCTAGTGACAGCCACCCCCATCCCAAGACAGGAGTCAGGAAGAAAGCTCATGCACGCATTCTACAGGTACTCCCTGGGTACCTACTGTGTGTGAGACTAGGACTTTAGCTGACCTTCAGGTATGAGGGAAGGGGTCAGCGCCAATCCCCAGACACGGAGGACCGCGATATTTATTGCATTTCTCATTCACATCACCTGCTAAGATCTGGTTATGTTACTGGTGGCAGGTATGGCCAGCCTGAATCAGGGGGTACACTAGAGCCAACGCCACATGCCTGTCCCAGGAGAGGACACCAGAGACACAGGAAAATCATGGGATATGGGAGCAGGGTCTGGGTGCTGCAGATGTGGGCCAAGGGGTACCACAAATGGTCAGCAGCAGCAGTAGCAGGAGAAAGGCATGGGGGCAAAGACCCTTAGCCTCCAGGACTGTGCCATGTGATCACTTTCCGACATCTTAACCCACCAGGTCCATGGCAATTTGTTATGGGAGCCACAGGAGGGAGAAGCAGGTAGGATTTTTCTCTGGCTTACACATAATAGCTGCTCAATAAACAGTCCCTGAGTGAAGGGATGCCTGAAAAAAAAATGACACTCTGAATGCTGCCAGATGCTTGGCGGGTGCCCCAGACCTAGCATTTATCTCCCCTGCCCCTGCTCCCAGCCCCTACTCTGCTCACCAGCCACCACTGGTACGTGTCCTCGTCCATTAGAGCATTGCGAGCTGTCAGCAGCGGCTGCATGGTCTTGTTGAAGCGCTGGTCGAACCAGTAGGAGACCTTGCCCTGGCTGATGCAGTGTGTGCAGGTGCACGGCTGGGCCTTGATGAACTTGCGCAAGTTGTCTGAGAACCCCAGGACCATCTGCTTGGAGAACCAGGCAGCGTGCAGTCCCGTGCTTGAGTAGTTCAGGACAAAGGATGTGAGGAAGACGAGAAGCAGGAGGAAGGTGAGCCACTTGAGGGTCCTCTTCCTCATGTTCATAATAATCTCCAACCCTTTGCTGGGCCTTCTGTGTTATTGGGAGGGTGGCAGAGAGGAGACCCTGCCTGGAGCTGAGGAGATCCCAGAGGCACAGGAGCAGGTAGCAGGAAGGGGAGGCCTCTGAGGCAGCTAGGGAAAACTTCAGTCTGTTGGAGACACGCCTAGGCCTGTGCTCTGGATATCTCCGTGTGGCACACGAGGGTAGTCCGTGAGGTGCAGTCGCGGCTGTAGTGTCTTCCTTTTGGTAAACAGCGTGGTCTACCTCTTTTGCAACCCCAAGCAAAGTCGAAAATGTGGCTTGATGACGTCAATGAAACCTGGGAAGAGCAATGTTCTCCCCCACGCAAAAGGGATCAAGGTTTAATCCTCAGCCTGCGTGAACCCCCGGAGGACCTGAGGAAAAGGTCTCGGTGCAGGATGTGGGGCCGCTGCTTGGCCGCCCTCCTCCAGAAAGTGCGGTTTGAGACAATCCTTAATGAGAGCTTTGTGCTTCCCAGGCTGTCACCAGGGATGGGAACTTAAAGGACATCTCAGAGAAGGTACAGAGGTTGATGAGCATCTGTGGAGAAAAAGAGGGAGAAATGGAGATGGAACTTGGTGACCTTGATATGGCCCTGTTTCTCTCTCCACACCTTTTCCACATGCCTCAGGGGCTTCCTGTGGGCTTTGATAGCACCTGTTTTTCCTGCTTCTGGCCTGAACTTTGCCCCCCACATCCACCAGAGTATACCACTACTATGCGAACACTCACACCGCCATAGATGAGTGGCTTGGACCGCCATGCTCTGCCCACCACGACGAACCGATGTAGCCTGAAATTATGAGCCACAATACATCTAACCCCCCCCAAGTTGTTCCTGGCAGGTATTCTATCAGATAAAAAAAATAATAATAAGACTTAATACAATGTCAGGAGCTTGAAACTCAGCGTTTTAGTCTCTCAATTACTGTTTTCTGCTTCTTAAACTCTGAAACTATGTCATTTACATATGAGCAGATTCCCTCCACTGAGGGAAAATGGTTCAGAACCTAAGTCCCTCCCCCAGATGTTTCGTTTGCCATGGGCATAGCGTCTCAGTGTTTGACTCAGTGACCGATGAACTTAATCCATCTGTCTGTCCTTCCAATCAGGTCTCCGTTCGGCCCCTTGCTGTTCCTGACTCTACCTCCTGGGAGTCAGCACCCACGGCATGCAGGAGGAGGCTAGCTTCATCTCCATTCATCTCCCATCTTCACCCTCCATCATCTCCCATCCCTCAGGCATCTCCACCTTTCGAGCCTTGGCTAGAGTTCTCTGCTTTGCAGCCACTCTGGTCTTTGGTGGGAGAACGGGTCAGACATGAGAGGCCCCACTGAGCTCCAGAGTATCTCCGCTCTCTATAGACCTGAGCAGGAGGCTGGGCAGGAAGGGGCAAAGGAAGAACTGGGGCCTCAAGAGCCCCTGCCCTGCCCAGAAGGGCCCAGGAACAGTTCTTTTATTATCTCTGTGTCACACATTCCTTTCACAACCACCTTAACTCATGGCCAAATCTTGTCTTTCTCATCACTGAAAGGCAGACCCTCTCCAAGCCTCTGGGTTCTGGCTCACTGGCTCAGAGGCAGAACCAGCAAGTCCAGTAAGACCTGGGCCAGTGGAAGGCCTCCAGCATGCCAGAGAGAGGAAAGAGCCTTCACTAAACTGCTCAGCAGCCCTGTCCTGGTCAGTGGATACTTGGTGCCGCTTAGTTTTTATTTATTTTTTATTAATTAAATTTTTTCATTTATTTTACATCCTGACTGGTTTCCCTTGCCTCCTCTCCTCCTGCCCCCGCCCATCCCTGCCTCCCCTTTACACTCCCCATCTGCTCCTCTTCTGTCTCCGTTCAGAAAGGAGCAGGTCTCCCATGGGTGTCAACAAAGCATGGGTGCCACCTATTCTTATTATGGAGTGGAGCCTGGCCAACAGCACCAGAGTGAAAACAGTCATAGAGAGCACACCACAGTTCCTGTGTGCTGTGGGCTGGGCCCGTCCCCTCTCTGACCCTTGCTTCCTGAATCCAGAGACTAGAACAGTGCTCCTCCGGGCCTGTGTGGAAAGAATGACCGGCACAAAGATGACCAGCTCAGGGCACCGAGTACGTGTACTACATCAGTCATGGCTGATTCTCTTCCCCGAATCCCAGATGCTTCCTGTGTAAGATGTAACCCAACTAGATACTTGGACTGTCTCAAACAAGGTTACTTAAAGGACTCAGTGACACCAGGCATCAAAGAATACGAGTCAGGGTAACCCCCTGCCTCAGGTGCCTCAGCTCCTCCAGGTGCGTCCTGGGGTCCAGGGAGAAAGGGGTCCTAACATACGGTGTGTGGGACACAGCAAACAGTCAACCTGTGAGGGTGGTCACTGTGAGCTCCCAGGCAGATTCAGTGTGCTAGTAGCTAGTTTTGACACCCCAGGGCAGTGGTTCTCATCTGTGGGTCGCGACCCCTTGACAAACCTCTATCTCCAAAACTATTTACATTATGATTCCTAACAAAGCAAAATTACAGTTACGAAGTAGCGACGGAAATAATTTTACGGTTGGGGGTCACCTACAGGGTCACAGTGTTAGGAAGGCTGAGAACTACTGCCCCGGGGGCTCCTTCATGGTGGCTCTGCTCCCACTTTCTCACCGGCCTGTCCCTCCAGATTCCCTTCCCCCATGCTTGGGAGTACAGATGGACTGCCCCTTGGAGCCTGTGACACCTCCTGAGTCACAGGCCATCACCCTGACAGCTCTGGGCAGCAGTGCTGGATGGGGCCAGCCTGTTCTTGGTGCTTTGCAATTTAGGGTCCCAGCTGCCACCTGTTAGAGCTCCGAGCAGCCCTGTGCACTGGACTATAACTAGAGCATAGCCTTTGTGGGTGGCTAGACCTGGGTGTGAGTGTTGAGCCTTTCTTTCCTTGCCAAGAGACCCTGGGTAAGGTAAGTCAGTCTACCGCTCTGGACCCAGGTCTGCTCTTTAAGACAGAGTGATCACATATCTTTTAGTGTCTCTCTGTCTCTGTCTGTCTCTGTCTCTGTGTGTGTGTGTGTGTGTGTGTGTGTGTGTGTGTGTGTGGTGTTTTCTAAGGGACTATAGAAATTCAGAGCAGAGTTTCCTGGCATCTAACATGCACTAAAACAAGTTAGCTCCACCAATGCATAGATAATGGGATTGAGACTCAGTGGGAAAGCCCCTGACTGAGTTTACACACTAGGAAGTGAACCATGAACTTGAACCTTGGTCCTTATTACCAGTTTCTCAGATTTGGGAATGAAACGTCTAGACACCACGCCCCTTTCCTTCCCTGTGTCTGGCACCTCTACTCCGTGCTAAGCAAGAAGTTCCAGGAAGAAGATGCTGGCCCTGGAAATAGTGTCCCCTGAGCAAAAGCTGAGGTTGCTGTGTTCTCAGGCAGGGGTGTGTCTTACTTCTGCTTTAATACTTCATTTGGAAAACCCATGGCTCAGTGAGTCAGAGCTGGAGGCTGCCGCCTGGAGCCCAGCTGTGGAGGGAAATGTGGCCTGCCCCAGCTCCTGCACCACCCATAGCCTACCTCAGCTCCTGTGCCACCCATAGCCTGTCCCAGCTCCTGCACCACCCATAGCCTGTCCCAGCTCCTGCACCACCCATAGCCTACCTCAGCTCCTGTGCCACCCATAGCCTGTCCCAGCTCCTGTACCACCCATAGCCTGTCCCAGCTCCTGTACCACCCATAGCCTGCCACTGAGGACAACTCAAGGCTTCTTGCTACTGATGCTAGGTGACTAACTTCCTCCTGAAGATGTCCCCCACCTACCACTTCCTGGGGAACTTGGGAGAGTGGAGACGTTCAGAAATCTTCCAGAAAAATTCTAGGCTCCTGTAGTTAAAGTCAAAGTATGGGGATGGCCAGGGGCTCCATATTCCACACTAACCTCCATCTCCAGTGATGGAACTAACTAACTAACTAACTAAATAAATAAATAAATAAATAAATAAATAAATAAAAATCTAATTTTTGAGCTTTTCTGGCCCAGAGAACTCTGCAGGCAGTCTGTCAATGATGCCTGGGTAGACAGAAGAGAGAGACAGGCCTTTCTTCTGCCTAACCTTAGTGGCAGAGGCTGCAGGTGGCTTTGCATGGGACTGGGGGACCTTCCCTACCTAAAGGCTGAAGGTAGACTTGTATTTTGTGTTGGCTTCCTGGTCTCAGGGTCCCAACGAGAGCAGGTTCCCCAAATACCTGAGGCCCACCCTTCCCTCAACTTTGCAAACAACTGGTCCATGCTCTCACCTCGGTTCCTCAGTGCTTACCTTGCAGACAGCTCCCTAGAACATCCCAAACCAAACCTGGCAGCCAGGGGTTATGCCCCTATTTATTCCTTTCCTGGCAGCCCATCTGACTTCCCATTTTACCTCTACTCGGTCTGCCCATCCCAGACAGACCTACCACCTAACAGACTTTGTGTATATTCCACCCTGTGTATATTTTCATTATCAAGTAGACTGGGTTTAGGATTTACCTAAAATGGGAGTAAAATAAATCTTACAGGGGTGGAAGGAGGTGGCAAGATGGCTCAGAGGTTAAGAGCACTTGCTGCTCATGCAGAGGATCAGGGTTCGGATCCCAGATCCCATATTGGACAGCACAAACCTGCCTGTATGCAACTCCAGTTCTGAGAGATCTGATGCTGATTTCTAACCTCTACAGGCACCTGTATGGGTACACACGCACACACGCACACGCACACACACACACACACACAATAAAAATAAAAGTGAATCTTTTTTTAAAAAGAGGATTATTACGAAAGAATTTTTCTAGAAAGGCTTAACTGAATTGGGAAGACCTACACTGAATATAGGTGACGCCATACTGGACCGAATAAGGAGAAAGTCTGCTGAGCGCCAGCATTCACTACTCTGAAGAGCTTCTTGACTGTGGGAGCCATGTGCTCCACCACTCAAGATCCTTTTACTTTACCACCCCCTGCTGAGATGATCTGCCCCCTCCAACTGTGAGCCAAAACAAACCTTTTAATGATGGCTTGAATGAAAAATAATTCATGTATTTGAATACTTGGTTTGCCGTTGGTGCCACTGTTTGGAGAGATTATGGAACCTTCCGGAGGCTGAAGCTTGCTGGAGAAAGTCCATCGGTAGGTAGCTGGACTGTTGAGAGTTTATACTCTCTACTCCCAGTTCACTCTGTGCTTCCTGAAGGCAGTTATACAAAGACGGGACCCCTCAGCTTTCTGATGTGGCTATCTGCTGCCATGCCTCTCCTTGACATTATGGATTTCCCCCGCCACTCCCCGGAACCATAAATGAAATAAACCCTTTTTTTTTCTGTAAGTCACTTTGGTTGTGGTGTTTTATTACATCAACCCAAAGTAACTCATTCAGAAACTGGTAACGGGAGTGGGGTTCTACAATCAGAGGAGAGCCCCGAGAGGCAGGCAAGCCCTAGGAGGCCATTGTGGGACCCTATAAAAGTAAAGCCTGAGTTGTTGGGGAGACCTCAAGATATTGGAAATGCCAAAGCTGTGAAACGTCTGTCAAGGAGTTTCATAC